ACAATTGGTCCTTTGGTAATGCAGTGGGTTTGCAATCCAAGGGGTTCTTGGGTTAAGATAGGTGGGAAATTCACCAAGGGGTGCTGAGTCTATAACTGCATTTACATTTTCAAAATGGGCTTATGTATCCCTTTTTATGTATTTTTATGGGAATTGGTCATTTTGATGATAATAGCACTGTGCAGGAATACAACAGCAAAGAAGTTGAATCATATCTGTTAGCTTAAACCTCTCTCTTCCAAGGCTGTTATGAAGAGCACAGTATTTTAAAAGGTTTTGCAAGTGTTTTTCTTGCTCGGTCTAAAAGTTGGAAACTTCCGTAGGTGATGGATGGAATCTTGCTCCCATTCCCATTAATGGCAAAGATCTCATTCACCCTTACAGAGCTAGGATTTTACCAGGATCTTTAGACTTCTACTTGAAAAGTAACAGAATGGGTTACAGTGCCATAGCAAGGGGGGGGAGGGGGCGAGTGGGGTGACCGTCCTGGGCACTGAAGTGAAGGGGCGCCAACAGGTGCTGCCCAACCGGGGCAGGGTGTGGGACAGAGCTGCGAGCAACTCGTTTGCGGGGGACACGGGGATGGGAGAAGGGCGGCTTCCGCTCCTGCATGCACCCCCAGGCAAGCATGGGGGTGTGTGTGCATGGCCTGAGGGTGAGCTGCCTCTGCCGGCTTTGCCCGGGGTGCCAAACTTCACTGCTATGGCACTGATGGGTTATTCCCTAGTTAGTCAAGACCCCATTTTGGAAAGCTAGCACTTATTTAAAAAGCAATAAATTGAAGCACCTATGGAAATATCTCTGCAGCTCAAGGCAGATTTGCACTTGCAGAGCTAATGTAGGGGTGGCACTAATACTGGAAATAGCGTAGCTGTATTAGTGCTATGCTCCACACTTTGTGCGCTACCACATGAGGTGCCAGGAAGGGATACATGCTTCACTAGTTCTGGAAGAGCTGAGCATTTGGCTCCATTCCTAATGATTCTGCCCTACTGCCTCTCTTGCCTTTGGCTGTGCCCAGCCTAATTAGTTTTGCTGGGAAGCGGAGGTAATAAACCCAGGTACAGTGCTGTGCTTTACATGGCTGCCTTGCTTCCGGTACTGGAAACAGAGTTAGTGAAGGGAGCTTTGCAAAGTACTGTCATGGCCCTGTAGCTACGCCCTAAGTGACTTATTAAAGGCGGTGGCCTGGACCTGGACTTGGATCTCTCTTCCAGTCAAACTCTTTTTGGGGACAGCAAAACTATCAGAGGTGGTTTCAGAATCGTAACTGAGTGTGTCTGTCTCTTCTGCCTACAGCTATGTCAGGCAAAATGTATTACGTGTGGTTCTTTCCCTTTATTTCTGCATTTTCTTGGATTTCTAAGAGCAGCCATGCACCCTAGAGCATGACATGTCAATAAGAAATGCATGCTTTACTAGCCCTGGAGGAGCTGAGTTGCAGGCTGTCTTCCTGCTAATGCTCCCAAGCGGCGCATCATTGTATTAATAAGCCTGCAGACCTTGACAGGCATGATTAATAACATAGCACCCTCCTTGAAAGGTTCCATCCTTTCCAGAGACCGAATGCATTTTAATTACACATGGTCATACTTCCCAGCCAGCAGGCCTAGGCAACTGAATCAAACTACCACCGATATATAAGATATACTGTATATTCTGGTAACATAAAGACTTTGGAGCTTGCCGCCACTAAGCTGGTTCATTTATTGATGTTATTCCTTCTGGGTGTAATGAGGAAGTGTCAGGAGAAAGGGGCATTGTAAATAATATTGCAGCACAGCTAGGGTGACCACCCATCCTTAACTGGGAGCGTCAGTCCCAAAATGGGAACATGAAGTCCCAGGCTGAATGACTCCAGAACAGCATTTGTCCTGGATTCCCAGTATCATGCAGGGATCTGGGTTTTCCATTCACTGCTGAAAAACCCAGAAAAAGGTGGAACTTGGGGCGAGGGGCTGCTTGGGGCTATGGGGAATAGGAAGCAGGGGGCACTATGTGCATGTGCACACATGCATTTGGCCAGGAATGGTGCAGAGCAGCTCCTCCAGCTGCCTGCAGGTAAGTCTGTGGGGGTGGGGGAAGCAGATTGAGGCCCTCACAGTGAGGGAGGGAGTGGGGCAAGGGCTGGGGTTGGGGGTGCTGCCCAATTGGGGCAGTGCATGGGGGTCAGAGTGGGGTGGCACCATGGGTGGCTTGTCCAGGGAGTGGCAGGGGGGCTGGTTCCCTGTTGCTGTGCGCACTCCTGGGGAGGGGGACATGGGAGCATGTGTCCCCCTAGATTTGTGCACAGGGCAGAGGCAGATGCAGGCTTCCTGCTCCGGGCTCGGGGCTCCCTGACGTGCTGCCCTCCCCCTGGGAACCCAGGGGTGCTGCTGGGCAGGCAGGGGCTGCCTCGCCATGGTGGCATGGCCAGTGTGGGGGCCCTGGGGGGTGGGCAGCAGAGAGAGGAGCCCCAAGCCTACAGCAAGCAGCCCA